GGGCACCAAAAAAAAAAAAAAAAAAAAAAAAGACAGAAGTTAAATAGGACTAAAGGAATGGAAAGTTTCAGTTAGGCAAAGGGATGCTGTACCACCAATAGTTTAGCAGTTTAAGAGCAAGAGGACTCAAGATTGAGTTATACAGAGTAATAAAAAAAAAAAGTTAGCCATGTTGCCCTCTTACCCCTCCCCCCACAGGATTAGAATTCTTGTCCAGGATGGAGTCTAGAGGAGTTCACCAAGGTGTATTGGTGCTGCAAAGATCTGACAATCCTACCATACAGCTAGTTAAACTTGGAGGCCAAGTACAGGGGGAGAGAGTGCTTTAGGAGGCCATCCCTGCAAGGTCTACTATTGTTAGTATATGGCAGCTAAAGACAGGGAGGAAGATATGCAAAAGCAAGAGACCAGGCAGGAAACTGGGACTGGAACAATGCCTTTCCTCCCAAAATACCCCCTACCTAGGAGAAAAACCCAACATTGAACACCCCATTGAGCTAAAGGCTTGTGTTGGGACAAGAGACCTATGTATCTATGTTTTAAGTTAGGAATTTTCTAACTGGAGGGGGACCATTTAATAAAAACCCCTTGATACCAGTAACTGCCCAAGCCTCACTGCTGAAAAAACTGGGGACAAGTCATCTGTAGAATGGATACTGCTGTTGGTAGCAACAGAATCTCTTGAGAATCTGTAAGCTTTTTTGGGCCTGTTTTCTTTTTAGCCAAAATCTAAAAAAGTGCTGCCCACATATGGAAGCTTAACATCTGCCCATCTGGATTGGCATTTCCAGAACACTATAGTAGCCAATACGAATGTGTGCCCCTGGAGACTGAGGGGGGACACAGCAACCACCTGCAGGGAAAGCTCTGGCAGGCAGCTAGGGTGGTGTTGGTGGCAGGAAGGGGAGTGGCAGTTGCCTGCAGAGGCTGGGGGGCAAAAAGCAACAGTAGCAGCACCAGGCAGTAAGTGGCAGCTTGCATGCAGTGTTGGTAGCAGCTCTCATGCTATGCATTGCAAAAACAAAAAAAAACAAAAAACAAAAACAAAAAAACCCAAACAAACAGGTTTTTGCAATCCTTCACAGATTAGGCAAGGATCCTTGGAAGAGATAAAGGAGCTCTATACTATAGCAGTTTGCTAGAGTTACGTACTGGCATTACTTGTACATCTTAATCCATTCTATTAAGCCAAGCACAGGTCAGAGCTAGACTCAGCAAGTAAGACCTCTGCATGTCCTGAAGCTCCTTTAAAATGGTGACAAGGAGAAAAATCCTCACCATGCACAACTGATTGCTACAGGCTATATTACCACAAGACTATAATAATGTCAGTCTAGATTACCAGCATCTGAAAAGTCCTTGGTAGAAGAAGTTCAGTATGCATATTAAAAAAGGAACCAAGACACCCACCCCAAACAAAAAAGTCATACAAAATACCAACAACTTTGGAGGCACTACCTCTTTTGATTTAGCATTTGCTCTGCAGGGCACTGACCTGGTATATTGCTTGAAATTAGCGCTGGGTTACCAATTGCCTTGCTTGTTCAGTACTGTATAACTGTACTAGACTCATCCCCTTTGGGGATGAGTCAAGAAAGTACGAGCTTCCCTATAAGCCAAGGTGACCCAGGAGAACTTGGCAGTCACTTGAACATAAGCGAGGACAACTCAATTTTACTGCTTGGTTTTTAATTAATTTTTGCATTTCAATTTACAGTGGTTTCTTAAAGAGCATTCATCCTCTTCACCCCTCAAATGAGGTCAAATTTAAGTCAGACATACAAAATTACTTATGTTTACAAATTTTTGGCAATTTATCCTAGTAACCCGTTTTCTCCTATTGCCATTGTCCCAACCATTGAAAAAAGTTTACAATAATTTACATCTGAAGTATTTCAAAGTGCTTCATAGTGATTTCTAGGAATATTTACAGGTGGCCTATACACATATGTACAGGTGGTACACTATAGCACAAGTTGTGGCTGGAATATGGCTTTCTATGGAAAGTGCTTTAAATATTTGGTCAGTGGTGGCAACTGACCAATTTAAGGGTTATAGGTAAAAACAGTAACCATCAAAAGCTGAATTGTTGTGGACAATATTTACAAAATTTCTATTGTTAAGCTGTATAAAAAAAAATTTACACAAGCTTGCTCCATTCACAAAGGAGTCTTCATTCTTCCAGAATGAAAAAGAGTATCAGCCACTGGATTGGTTACCATCCAAAAAGAGTGTAGCACACAAGTAGACTGAAAGAAGGATTGCTAAGTTGTGGTAGTCAAGCTACATCTTCATCTGTACTTACAACAGATATCTGTACAAGAATAAAAAGTATGTTAGTCTTGCACCCCACTTTAAGAAGTCAGCAAAAAACACCCTACATCTCTATGGATTAGAGACATGCAAGAGTGGAGTTGTGCCTTTTAGAGCCAGACTTATGCCCCATGACAAAGCAAGTCAGACCAAGTTTTGCCATCATGCATTGCATTTTAGCTTGCACTCCTGGGGGGGAGACAAGTATACCATTTTCATGAATTGTGCAGTTTAGATTTTATAGTTTTATTTGTATAGCACCTCCCCCCTTTCCAAAGAAGTTCTGTTGAGCAACTAGAACTAGGCCTATTCCTGTAAAGGCTTTCTAGGCAAGTCATATTGAAAGCAACTTAAAGTATGCATAAAAGAATTTCTTACAGCTCTAGGCACAAGAGTCCAAATCAGGCAAAACAAAAAAAGTGGGAGGAACATTTGTTTAGATTGTCAGAGCTAATTTAGGCTACCTCTTCCTCTGGTGACCTGAGCAATATAGGAAGTGGTTGGGTCTAGTTTGGATTATACCCTCCCAACACAGAACTAGAAAACATGGTCAAGATTTTACTCTTCCTCAGCTAGCCTAGGAAGCCAGTTTATTTTGTTACTTTGACTTTCAGCTAGGGATCAAGCTGAAAATGTTTTAGGCTAATCTCTAGACTGGAGTTGAAAGAAAGAAAAAAGTCAACTGCTAGAGAGTTTGCTTACTGCTGGGTAAGTATGTCCTACTGAACTGCTGTGTCTCCCAATATCAATAGTGAGGTCTTCTTCAGTGGTTTTCAAGTAGACAGGGTTGTCAAAGTTCATGCTTTTCATGTTCTTGTGTTGCCAGTTACGCCATATGAAGTAGCCACCTACTGCAGCCATTGCCACCAATACTGCAAAAGAAGAAGTCAGTCAGCACTGAGAAAGTGCCACTCCCCCAGGATTCTCCAACACATACCCATTCCATGGGAGAGCAGGGATTAAAAGCTTAAGTTTGTTATTCAGTCAATTAACAGAGGTTCTAGAATTAGACTAGCTCCTAGATCCCTCATTATTTTAGGACTAGATAATGCCAAGGCAAGTAGCCATATTCAGTTTTAGAATAATACCCAGAGTTTGAAGTCTCTAGTTACTTCACCAGTTGTACTTACACACAGGAATAATGGCCCATGCAGCTGAAGTTCCTTTAGTAGAACTTACTTCTGACACTGTGCTGCTGAGATTGCGTTCTAGGGGAAGAAACAAGACATTAGGTGTTGTACTTGCTGTTGGAGTTGGTAGTTGTCAAAAAGCCATCAACTGCTTGTCTGGATGAAATGACAGCAAGGGAAAAGAAGACTGTTTTGCTTCAGTGAAGTGGCATGTCCTCATTCATACATGTCCCATACTAGACATCTACAGCTCTTTCAACATGGAGGTTTTAGACCCCCCCCCTCAAGCTAAGACACTTGTTAGAGTGAATTTGCTTTCCAAGGCACACATGTATAGTCAAATGCAAGCTTTACATGAAAGGGGTAAATGTGTTCCTATGCATGCAACTGGGTTCAAGGCATCTTAATGGGGTCTTCTCCTGCTAGCTTGTTACTGGTTATAATGCACAAAATGTTGCAAGAGGTGAATTATTGGGACCAATACCTCCAGGAACTGGTCCAAGAGATGATTTTTCTGTTGTGCTGGTATCTTTTGTCTCAAAGCAAACCACAGTAGTTCCAGTACCTGAAACTGGTT